ATTGCGCAATTGATACTGGTGACCAATAGAAAATTGCATGTATACTGAGATGATGCAATATTAGCTTTTAATTGCATCACTTCACTGCATAAAAGCTGCAGTATCTGTAGCTGATTGTAGTTCGACAGCATCTTTACATTTCGTTTTATGCTTATATAGGCTACTCAGTAATGCCTCGAACTTGTGTGAATAAAGCAGATAATTTCTGCTATATCTGCGGTGAAATAACTTTTATCTCACAAAAAAGGAGGATAACAGGAATGATTAAGAAAGCCTACAACTTGTATTTTGGCTGCAAGATAGGAGACCAGGACAAGAGCTGGGCACCACATATATGCTGCAATTCTTGTGGGACGGCACTGGAGCAATGGTTGAATGGAAAAAAGGCATCTATGCCTTTCGCTGTGCCAATGATTTGGAGAGAGCCAACAGATCATGTTAGTAATTGTTACTTTTGTATGGTGCCTCCAATTGTAAAAGGGCTAAATAAGAAGAAAAAGTTATCTGTGCACTATCCAAATATTCCATCGGCAATACGTCCAGTTCCTCATGGAGAGGGGCTACCAATTCCTAAAGCACCAGAATCCTTCGTGGTTGAGTCAAGTGAGGAAGAACCTGAAGCGTGTAGTCACGTGCAGTTGTAAGAGATAGCCCTTTCCTCGAATACAAGAGAAAAGCCAAGAGAAGCAAAACCGACACAAACTGAAGACAAAACTAGTGAGAATCCTAAGTATTAAAATGATTCAACTTAGCTTATGGCTATAATTTTTCTTGGTAATCCTATGCAATATATTATGCCATTTAGGCTTTGTTATGTAGTCAATATCACTTGCTTTATATTTGTGGAAAGAAGTTTACAGAAAAAACTAGAGCCAATTGACAAATTTCATTGTTATATTTGAACTCAGAATGTGAAATTCATTAAGAAATGGATCCTTTTGTTTCCAAAACTGCCAAAAAATAAAAAATTTGTTGAACAGTGTTATCTGTCATTTAATATTATACATCTTCCATTACAGATTTTGCTCCTGTGGTATACTTGTTACTTCCTACCAGTGGTATAGCTATGACTTTTTGTCATTCTGGGAATTCTGGGAATGGGAGGTTCCTCATGTCATGTTACAGGTCAGACAAATGTAAAGTCAATGTTCCCGCATATTATTTCTATGCCCTGTTATGTGGAGCCAGTTCATGATGTTACTTGCTATGATATACTGTATGTTTATCTCTTAACCATGATCTGACTGACACTGTAATGGAACTATAATTATCATTTGTTATCATTGACCACTTGCCCACAGCCCAATAATAGAAGTACTGCGACAGGGCCGCAGAAATTCATATATATATATATATATATATATATATATATATATAGTGCAGCGCTAAAATAACATAAATATCATATTTATAGCATAAAATCAAGAGCAAATATCAGATCACACTAAGGTGAAATTGAGTGAATAAAAAGTCCCAAAATAAATAAAGGCCCAACGTGGGGATCCTAATGGGTACGTGGGGTAAAGTTCCAGTGTACCACACGGTGAATCTAGGGTAAAAATTGCGCACTCACCAGAAGTGCGTCAAAAATACGCATGTAAGGTTTATCCTGTTACATCAGGTAGCGGTCATCTACTGCCAAGATAAGGTCAGGGTCATACACCTTCCAATCGCAACTCGGGGTAGGCACTCCAAGATTCTTAAATGTGTCTCAAACGTGTCACCATCTGGGGTCCCCTTTTTTTGAACAGGTTCTGCAAGTGGGGACTCTCATTGAAGAGAGCCCAATAAGGGACACCACATAGCGTGATACCGTATACACTGAGTTTATTAAATCAGAAGGTAACACAACATGAATGGTAGGGGTAAAATGAAAATGGAAGTAAACACTGACCAGATACTGCTCAGGTATGGCCACCAGCGGTGGTCAGACGTCCGGATACTGTAGCCCCGCTGATGCGTTTCGTGCGATGCACATTATCAAAGGGTCCTGGGCCCAGATGGTGACACGTTTGAGACACGTTTAAGAATCTTGGAGTGCCTACCCCGAGTTGCGATTGGAAGGTGTATGACCCTGACCTTATCTTGGCAGTAGATGACCGCTACCTGATGTAACAGGATAAACCTTACATGCGTATTTTTGACGCACTTCTGGTGAGTGCGTCATTTTTACCCCAGATTCACCGTGTGGTACACTGGAACTTTACCCCACGTACCCATTAGGATCTATTGGATCCCCACGTTGGGCCTTTATTTATTTTGGGACTTTTTATTCACTCAATTTCACCTCAGTGTGATCTGATATTTGCACTTGATTTTATGCTGTAATATGATATTTATGTTATTTTAGCGCTGCACCTTATATATATTTATGTACTTTGTTGGAAGGTTCTTTCTTGGTTACCTTTTCTGGTGTTCTGGTGTATCTAGCTGCTAGCGCTCGCATATTATCTCTTTTTTATAGATTCTCGTGATGTGCGCTCGCAGTATTATCTCTTGATATTTCTCCACGTGTATGTAACACATGTTGTGCTATATATGTGTGTATTGGGACAAAACAAAAAAAGGGAGGAAAAGAAAGCAAATTCGACATAATGTCACACAAACCTCCAAAAATGTGTGACAAAAGTGTGGTGTTCACAACTGTGTAACAATTGTGATGCTCCTGTAAACTCATATATATATAGAAATCACACACACACACACGTTCACTTAACCTTTGCATGTGTGTCTGTCTGTGTGCCACACTAAGCATGGGAGGCTGAGGACCTGAAGAACCAAATTGTGCAAAATATCAACAATCTCAATGGTTACAAGTCCATCTCCAGAGAACTAGATTTGCCTTTTCCACAGTGCGCAACATTATCGCTGCAACCCATGGCATTGGTGGCGTGGACGGTATGAGGAATATTGATGAAAGATGCAACGGGAATAGTCCCGGAGCAGCCCCAAACATGTTCCAAAGACATTCAAGCTGTCCCATGGCTCAGGAGCCAGGTCAGCGCGAACTACCCGTCGACATTTAAATGAAATGAAACGCTAATGGCAGGAGACCCAGGAGGTTGACTGGAGACATAAAAAAGCAAGACTACAGTTTGCCAAAATGTACTTGAGTAAGCCAAAAGCCTTGAAAACGTCTTGTGGACAGATGAGACCAAGATAGAGCTTTTCGGTAAACATCATTCTACTGTTTTCAGGTCTACCTCCTGCCAGCAAGCCCATGCTGTGAGCTGGGTTTGCGTCCTGTCTTGCAGGGGATGGCAAAGAAGCGCTGGAGAGTTTTGAAGTCCTTGGAGAAGAATCTTAAAATTGCTGTTGAAAAGGTTTTGTCCACAGCAGAGAAATATACACTGATTTCAGTTATGTTTCCATGTGTGCAACCAAATTAATTAAGTTAAGGGTGCATTATGTCTTTTCCCTAGTAAAAAACACAAACAGCACATACAAAGGGCCATCAAATATAATCCCATTGAACAATAGCAAACAGTGTTAACCCCTTTGCCCCAGATGTTATTACCCGCTTAATCCCTTTTTTTGTCATTTGTGTAATTAGTATGTCAGTGTTTTTTATTAGCACTGATTACTGTATTAGTGTCATTGGCAGTTAGTTTCCCCCAACCAGTGTCAGAATGCCCACTGCAGTCTTGCAGTCCCGCTATAAGTCACTGATCGCACCATTACTAGTATAAAAAAAATTTTAAAATTCCAGTATATACTGTCATTTGTAGACGCTATAACTTTCACATAAACCAATTAATTTACACATATTGGGATTTTTTTTTTTAGCAAAGACGTAGCATAATACATTTTATTGGGATTTTTTTTTTAGCAAACAAAAACATGTAGCCTGCCTTAAATTTATGAAGAAATTAGATTTTTAAAAATTTTTACTGGACATGTTTTATAGCAAAGAGTCAAAAATATTGTTTTTTTTTTTTCAAAATTTTCAGTCTTTTTTTTTTTTTTTTTTTTTGTTTAAAGCACAAAAAATAAAAACTGCACAGATAAATAAACATCACTGAAAGAAAGCTCTATTTGTGGGGAAAAAAAGGACATAAATTCCATTTTGTGTACAGCATTGCATGACCCGCGCAATTGTCAGTTAAAGTAACGCAAGCGCCATATCACAAAAAATGGCCTGGTCAGGAAGGGGGGTAAATCCTCTGGAGGGCAAGTGGTTAAAAACGTTTATGTAAAAAAAAAAAAAGCAAGCAATCAAGTCCAAATAGAAGCTGCACTCTCCACAATACTCAACCTTTAATGATGGGTGGTCAAACTGAATGCCACAGGTGATGCCATGCCAGAATCCGATAAAAAGATGCAAAAGTCACCAGCACGCCAAATGAATACATTTCACCTGTTTAGGCAGCACTGACTCGCACTGATGGGTGACACTGAAAGGCAGCTCAGATGGGCACTGATATGTGGCATTGATGTGCACTGACATAAGACATAATGATATCCTGGGCCTTATGTGACGTTGTCTTCACAATAAACATGTGACCGATCATTCTTGTATCAAGTACATAAAGTTGCACAATCTCTGTTGTCTAGGAGGAATTTTCGGTTTACTGCAGAGCTGCTCTACCCTCATTACTACTCTGACCTAAGCTACATTTCAATAGTTAGGCAAATGTGGTCTTTTAGTTAAAATTGTCAATGTTTGTTTTTAATATTTTATTTGGTGGAGATACAGCAATTTATTTTCACATTTAAATATAGGAAATGGTCTATCAAAGCTGATATTACTAATAGTTTGGGTAATCTTAACCACCTCCCACCTGCCATATAATAATATGATGGACGCAAGGTGGTTCTCTCGTTCTGGGAGGACGTCCATGATGTGCTCCCATTCTAACTGCGCATGCTGACAGCTCGAGAGGAGAGGCGGTAATCGGCATTCCGCGGAGGGGACATGTACACTGATCATCAGAGCACTGATGATCAGTGTGCCCTGATAATCGGTGTAGCCCCAGCAGTGCCAGCTGTCAGTGCTCATCAGTGCCACGTGCCCATCAGTGCCACATCAATGCCACATATCAGTGCCTACCAGTGCACATCAATGCCACATATCAGTGCCCATCTGAGCTGCCTTTCAGTGTCACCCATCAGTGCCAGTCAGTGCCACCTATCAGTGCCACCTATCAGTGCTGCCTTTCAGTGCCCATCAGTGATGCCTGTCAATGCCCATCAGTGCCACCTACCAGTGCCTCTTCATCAGTGTCCATCAATGCAGCCTATCAGTGCCCATCACTGCAGCCTCATTAGCGCACATCAGTGAAGGAGAACAAAATTACAAAATTTTATAACAAAAACTAAGAAAAAACTTTTTTTTTTCAAAATTTTCAGTGGTTTTTAGTTTGTTTAAGAAAAAAAAAAAAACCCCCAGGGGTGTTTAAATTAAAAGTAAAGGCAAAACCTAACTAACCCCAAACCTACTCTCAGCCACATTCTAAGCCTAATCTATCTAGTCCTGTAAAAAAAAAAAAATCTCTATACTTACCTGTTCTGCAGCTGCTCCGGTTCAGTCTCCAGATGTGCCCTCTGTGTGCCGAAGACACCTGACGATGGCTGGGAAGTCACCCATAGACATACTATGGGGCTTCCATTATTGGCGGCCTCCCTTGCAAACTCCTACACACTGAAGCCACTGCTGACTGCCCAGCTTGGGACTGGAGCGGCAGCAGAACAGGTAAGTATAGTGATTTTGTTTGTTACATGGCTAGATAGATTAGGCTTAGAATGTGGCTGAAAGCAAGTTTAGAGTTAGTTAGGATTTGCCTTTACTTACATGTCAAGGATTAAAAAATACACCCCACTAACTATTTCCATCCCCCTTTTAACCGCTTTTTCCCGATGCCCTATAGTAGAACTACTGCTACAGGGCGGCAGAGCTGCGCACAATCACGTATATGTGCGTGATTTGCATTTCCGGGTGGTGAGCGTGCGCACCGCCCTACCCGCGCTGCCATTGGTGGCTAGGGATGTCACTCACCAGGTCCCATTTGGAGATTCCCCGCCGCCACCTGGCGATTGTTGGTGAAAGATGACTAGGGAGAGACCTGTGTAAACAACGCAGGCCTCTCTCCTGCCAGCAAGAACATGCTGTTTTGTATTTCTATGCACAGCAAAGAATTACAAAGCAGCATGTCTCCCTAGTAAAAAACACACACAACACATAATGTTATACAGCACACAGTTAGCCCTTTGATCACCCCAGATGTTAACCCCTTCCTGCCTAGTGTCATTAGTACAGTGTCAGTGCTTTTTATTAGCACTGATCGCTGTATCAGTGTCATTGGTATGTCAGTTCCCACCTTGTGTCAAAATGCCTGCTGCAGCTATGGGTCGCTGATTGCCGCCATTACTAGTATAAAAAAAAAAAATTCCAGTATGTATACCGACATTTGTAGATGCTATAACTTTCACGTAAACTAATTCACTTACATGTATTTGTATTTTTTTTTTTTTTTAGCAAAGACATGTAGCAGAATACATTTTGGCCTAAATTTATGAAGAAATTTAATTTTTTAAAAATGTTTCTACTGGATATGTTTTTATAGCAAAAAGGCAAAAATATTGTTTATTTTTGTTTTTTTGGGGGTTTTTTTATAGCACAAAAAAATAAAAACCATAGAGGTGATCAAATACCAAGAAATAGAGAGCTCTATTTGTGGGGAAAATGGACATAAATTTTCATTTATGTACAGCCTTGCATGACCACGCAATTGTCAGCTAAATAACGCAGTGCTGTATCTAACAAAAAATGGCCTAGTCAGGAAGGGGCAGTAAATACTCTGGAGGGCAAGTGGTTAAACATTTACATGAGCCTGTCAGGGATCCAGCGCTGTGCCTGACTGCAGTATTTTCCCCCCTTCTCTTCCTTTTCTCACAGGGGCTCAGGCAGCAGCAAGAGCCAATGGCTTCTGCTGCTGTAAATCAAATGCTGTGAGGAGGGATGGGGGGCAGGGCGGGGCTGAGCCATGCTTTGTGTGTCTACAGAGCTCGGTTTCATAGACAAAAACACAGTTCAGGGGCAAGCACACATGTGCCTTCATAACAATTGGCTTGCTATGGGGGTGCACAGAGAAGAGGAGCAGCCTGGAGCACCAGTGGGGGACCCCAGAAGAGGAGGTTCAGGGCTGCTCTGTGCAAAACTACTGCACAGAGCAGGTCAGTATAACAAGTTGGTTATTTTAATTAAAAAATTACTTTGAATGTAACTAAAGGCAAAACTTTTTTTTGTGTTGATAGAAAGTAGATGTATTTGAACACCTGTCAGTTTTTTATTGCTGTCTGTGTCCCTGTTAGGGAGAGTCGCCCTTTCCCATGATCATTTAAAGTGAAAGTAAAGAAGATCCCAAGTTTTTGGTTGTGCCCACAAAAGTAATAGAGGGTAAATCTTCCAATGGGGACACTAGTTCCTGTGACCTGGGGGTCCCCAAGAGATTCCCTTAATTTTCAGGGATTTCCTCCCCAATGGGACCAACGCTAGCAAAAATAAACCTTACAGGGGTTATAACCCTCGCCTGCTCTATCCAAACCTTTTTTTTTTTTTTTTCAGAAAAAAAGTTTTACTTATAGTTTTACTTTAAACTTTAGTAAAAATACACTGTACACTGAGGCTTATTTATTAAGCACAAACATAAAAATTGCTGCGCTGCCTCTTCCGAAAACTACTTTAAACACAGTTTAAAACACATTTGTTCACCGGTACACATTTGCGTTTTTGCTAGCAGCAGCCAGTCTAATTGATCAGTCCTCTGCGCAGGTTATACTCACACACTTATTTATTAAGTATTCATCTATTTATTTAAGATATATGGTTATGGGGATTATGGAGGGTTGCTGTTTGAGGTGGATAATGATTATTTGTTACATTTTTAGTATATGCTTTGTTTGAAATATAATATTTGGTATCTGTAATATACTTAGTGTATGCTAATCATATTTTTATCTATTTCTTTTAAAAAGAATGGTTAACTGTCAAAAATTTAATTGTAATTATAATTGAAGTTGTAGATATGTTTGATATTATACCATTTAGAAAATAAAAAAATGTATTGTTTTATGATAAAGGATTACAAAACACTTTGTATGTTTTAGCAGCCAGCAGAGCAACAATTAGAATACAACAGTATAATGTAAAGAGAACATTGCAGTAGACACAGCTCAGTTTTGTATTAAGGGTGAAAGTGAGCTCAGTAAGCCAGGTCAGTGCTCTCAGCCAAACGTATAATGAAAAAGACTCAAAGGCAATACAACGCCAAAAGGAAGTAAAACGTTGTGTCATGACCCACAATAATGAGGAGGCGGCTGATCGTGAGAGCTAGACAGAAGAAGAAAGTATTGAGAACAAAACAATAGATTGGAAAGAGAGCAGAGTTAAAGATTGAGAAAAGTCGAACATTGAGGAAGGGAAAGAGAACTTTCACAGAATTCAGGTGCTACCAAGACTAAGCTAATTATTCTGAATGAATGTACTTTTATCCATGGAGACCATATATGCAGGAAAAGAACACAAAATACTTGTGCAAAATAATTGTTAGATTTCCAGTGACTGAAATCTCTTGAGCAAGAGTAAATCAATAACAACATTGTTTAAACAGAACATTCAGATTCAGGATTAGCTGAACAGTCCTGACCCCAACCCAAATAACATGCTGTGGCATGACCTTAAAAGAGTTCCTCACATGAGAAATCCTAGAAAACAAATCAATTAAACAAAACATTTTTGAAAAATGTATTAAAATCTTTGTACAAGTCCAAAGGGGAGGTCCTGCCAGTTACTAAATACAAGGGTTGACATCCCTTCATAACTTTTCCTAGCCTGCAATGTGAGCATTTAAACTGTGTGTAGTTGAGACATGAAAAAGTACAGCTTGATGGACGTTCAGCATATTGTATTTGTCCATTATTGTGATTTATTTGATGGTACAGTCCACATGTTTGGATCTACTCATACAGACATCCAGGTAGTTGTAAAGGTTTTGCAAACTTTTTCTTGCAATTGAATATCTTGAGGACCTCATCAGGGTGGTGTCTGGAGTTCTTTCTACCAACAACAGGCACCACAAAGGGGTTGACTTGCCCTTCTTGGTGATGATTTTTTTATTTTAACCACTTGCCCTTCCTGAATTTACCCCCTTCTGACCAGGCCATTTTTTGCGTTACGGGGGCTGCGTTACTTTAACTGACAATTGCGCGGTCATGCAACGCTGCACCCAAACTAAATTTATGTCCTTTTTTCCCGACAAATTGAGCTTTCCTTTGGTGCATTTGATCGCCTGTGTTTTAGTTTTTTTTTTTTTGCTATAAGCAAAAAAAGACCAACAGTTTTGAGACAAAAAACAATTTTTATGACTTTTTACTATATTAAATATGTCCAGTAAAAAAATGTAAAAAAATCAAATTTCATCATAAATTTAGGCCAAAATGCATTCCGCGACATGTAAATTAATTGGTTTACGTGAAAGTTATAGCGTTTACAAATGGCAGTATAGATAATAGGATTTTTTTTTTCTACTAGTAATGGCGGCAATCAGCGACTTTTAGCAGCACTGCAGCGGACATTCTGACAAGGGGGGAACTAACTTGGTGTCACTGACACCAATACAGTGTTCAGTGCTAAAAAAAAAAAAACTGATACTGTAATGGCACTGGGCAGGAAGGGGTTAATGTGAGGGGCGATCAAAGGGTTAACTGTGTGCTGGGAGTGTTTTACTAGGGGGCAGGGTGTGTCCCCTTCACTGTAAGCACACTGATTGGGATGGCTGTAGTGTGCACAGCCTTCCCAAGCAGTGTGCTTGAGCTGACAGGAAGGAAGATTGTTTGTTTGTAAACAAAACTATCTTCCTCCCCATCGGAGATGCTCGGTAATCACAGGGCGCCAGGGGGTAATTACTGGCCGGGACCCGGTAATTGACATCTGCGGCTGTGAATCTACCCGGAAATGCAGAATGACGTGTATATATACACGTGATCCTGAGCACAGGTGCCGCCCTGTAGCAGTATATCTACAATAGGGTGGTCTTAAAGCGGTTAATATTGTGAAGAATGAGGCAAGAGGATGAAAACTCATGCAGCCTCTAGGTGATATGTATTAGCCGGTGCTTCAATGGGTCTGTCCATAAGTAAAATATATGTTTAGAGTGAATGGAGCCTTTATGACATGCACAAGGGAACTCAGAATGGTAATAGATTTTATCCTTTTAGAAAAAATTACAATTTTCTTTTCATGCTGAGTTATGATTCATTGCCATTTGCAAAATTTTTGTGTCCACAGATTTACCATGAGCGAGGCTTTCAG